GGTCATTTTGCTGTTTGTTCCCATCTCATTGCCATCTTTATTATTTAATGCAGCTGAAATGTTAAATAATTTCCCCCTGAAATTACAGCACTGCTCTGAGAACATGACTTTGGGGGAGCTACCACATCATTGTTCCCTCCCCATTGAATGAAAGGGGTTATATCTGTGGGCACTGAAGAGGTGGAGAGATGGTAATGGGAACAGTAAAAGTCAAACTATCACAAAACACATTCTTCTTTTCAATGTGTCTTGATTGTTCTAAACATCTCTCAGAGAGTTTCAATTCTTTGAGTAATTTCCATGGTACTAAAACCGTAGAATTTTTTTTCTTGCCAATATTTACCTTGCTTTTATGGAAAACAAGATTTTCAGTGGTCTTTTTCTCCTTTTCTGTTGACATCACTGTTTACTTTCTGTTTTCTATCCAAATGTATTTTAATTTTTAAAACTTACTCTGATTAGTTATAATTATTTCCTCCTAAAAGCCTTTGTTGTATAATTATTTACTTTGGAAAATTTATATGTGTCAATCAACACAAACATGCTGAAGTATAAAAGTGTTCATCTCTTTGTGTTCCTCTTATTATGTTAAAATCCATAGACTCCTATGATTTAAGTGGCAATAATATTAAAATGTTTTAAGTTAGACACCTTTCATCTTTATTGAATTTGAAGGTCTTAGAAATGGTGAACCAAGTCTGTATTTTTCTATGAAACATTATTGGATTATTGGGATCTCACAAAATTCTTGATTACTATCTAACACTTGTATAGAACATTTGTGAATATAAAGACTTTAATGAATATATGTATCTACTTAAAAAATGTACATGTTCAATTATTTATCAGTTGTTTAGTTTAAAAGTAGCATATAATTGTCTTGTGTTTGGATTTGTCTTGTGTTATGATATTTTAGCTGATAGTCTCTAATCTTTATAATCTTTTCTTGGAATCTGTAGGGATTTCATTCTTATTCTTTTTATAAAAGTTAATGTAACCGAATAGTTCCTCTGGTGTGAATAAACTGTAATAGTACATAATATCCTAATGAGATATCTGACTTTGTGAAATGGGAAGAAAATGGCTAAAGGTGTAGGAAAAGTGGGAAGGATAGGGGAAAGGAAATAAGGAAAAAATATGAGAAAATGAAAAAATGGAAATAAAGTGTTTGTAAATGGAGAGGGGAGGAGGAGGTGAAGGGAGGGCAGGGACAAGGGGAAAAAATGAAAACCAAGACCACCTGTCATGTAAAGGTACAAGATCCCAATATTGAATGTAACTGTACTGTATGCCTAAAATGTACCAATAAACTCAAAAAAAAGAAAAAAGAGTTAATGTAAAAAAATCACTACACATTCCAAATTGCCCAGACATACAGTCCAAAAGGGGCTAAAATGAAGCTATGTCATATTTTTATTCTATAAATATGTGCTTTTCCATAAGACAGTTTCTCTCAAAACATCTGAATTGGAATATACTTATCATCTCATTTCTCCTTTCTATGTTCCAATATTCCCGGAGAAACTTAAGAGAAGATTCTTAGTAGATCAATAATGTCTCAGATACATAATTTCTGGCACTTTTTTTGTAAACTAAGAGCACACTCTTTATCAAGGACTACATTCTTTATAAGGGAAATAATTAGCTATGAGTATGTAATGTTGTGTTTAGGTCACATTGCTACAGTAAAATAATAGAGGGCAATGAAGATTTTGCTGCTTAGTGTTAAGTGACTTTATTACCCAGCCAATTTCAGCAAGGCTTTATAGTAGTTCTGCTACTTTATTTCAGGTAGTCAGGTTTTGGGCACTCATTCAAATATTCACAATCAGCTTTTTATTTAATGTTCTATTGCATGTTAATGCAGAGGACATTGCAATTTCTAATAAATTTACAGAACTGTAGTATTTTGGGATTGCAATTACTATTTCTTTGATTTCTGTCCACATTTTCTTAATTGAAAGATTTCTTATCATAAATAAATCTATTATTTTCCTAAGTGGAGATTTTCCCTCTTTTGTTAAAAATAGGAGCTGATTTGGAATAGCATTCAAATGAATCATTAATATGATGGAATTATTATGCTAAAAACACCAATGGATCTATCTTTCACCTCTCAGTCGCCATGGGTGCTCATCAGGAATGACTTATCTGACACTTAAAACAAATAATTTCCTGAAGCTGATTGCATACTAAACAAATCATGAAACAAATGGATTTCGAGGTAGAAAAAATAATGTTGAGCCAAGACAGTTTTGGTTAAAAAGTAACACACACACACACACACACACACACACACACACACACACGTACACACACACACACACACACACACTCAAATAAATCAGAACCTTAAAAAAAGACCTAGTTTACAAAGTAGCATTTTGACATGCTAGACAAATTACACCATTACTCATAATTAGCATAAGAATTTAGACAAGTAAAATAACTCAAACAAAAAAATTTAACAACATACATTTTGTTAGCATCCATAATTAAGAAGAGAATTCATGATGGAATCCTAAATCTATGGAAAGGCAACTAGGAATAACAGCAAGGCATTCTTCTTATTTTCTGATATTCTAAGCAGGGCTCCAGCAGTTTCATTTGTCATTTACTTAATTCATCCACAGGGCTAGGAAATCATACTTCACAATTTTAGAAATTTAAAAGTAAGTAGAGTATTAGGAGATAGTTATTCCAGCTATTTATTTAATTTTTATGTGTTTTTTTTTTCAATTGAGAAGAGGATTTCTGTTTTTGTGAAATATAAAACATTGGGAAAACTAAGACTAGAATTTGGTTATAT